GATCTTGTACTAAAATTTATATTGAACAACCAGGTAGATCCTTCGAGAAACGCATTAACGAACATAAAAGAGCGTTTAAAAACAATAGACTAGATTCCAATTGTGCACACACACTTAAACACAGAAAAACACATTTTTGACGACAACTTTGATATTAAAGTAGAAAATTAAATTTATTGGAAGCCATGGAGATTAACAAAATGAGATATTCAAATGTATTGCTTAATATTCAATTAGATTTAAATATCTCTTATTAAACTTAAATTCTCACAACATTAATTAAGGTTTTCATCAAGTAAAAGTCACCTCAGTTCAATTACTGCAGATTTTATTTATTTATTTTCCAAAACTTTCATTATTTATTTCATTATGTTTTCACTGCGCAAGAATCTCCAGTCGACCAGTAGCGAGAAGCAACTTTTTATTAACCCAGTCAATTCACCAATATATTCATATAGAAAATTGATATTTGACTAGGCTGTCTTCAGTTCGCAGCGCTGCGATCCAGAGCTCAGTTACCCGCCGCTGCCATCCAAAGGCAGAACGATCGTAGTAAACGGACTTATCTCAATGTAATTATGGTTGATTTTATTATTCATTCAGGGTAGCTGAATAGGCGCTAGTTAACGTTGAACGTTAATAGTCGAATGTGAACGACATAATCAGCATAGACCGTTATTATCATCATAATGGAGATTCGGGTAGGATTAATTCCCCGGCTTTTGTGTGCCGGACTGTTACTGACAGAATCGTTAAATTTCCTCGGGACTGCCGAGCCGGACGCTTTAATACCGGACAGATTCGATTCACTTACTTTATCGAGAAGCAGTTTTTTCCTAAATCAAAATGCTATACAATATAATCTGTTTACAAATGCTTTAGACCCAGTGGTCCACAGTTAACTCAGATTACAATTCTATCTTAGCTAGCAGGGCCATCTTAACGAATAAATAATATAGAAAAGGAGTTTCAACTATTACGCGCATATAGTCAAAGAGAGGTGACATTTCGTAATTATTATTCTTATTATAAAATAAAATCGAATATATATGTTTTGTAATTGAAATAGCTGCGTTATTGATAACTCTCATCCCCAGAGACGCCGTACGGTGCTTACAGAAGAAGCTATTGCTGCTGTAGAGCGTAGCATTGAGGAAGACCCGAATGAGTCCATCCGCCAGCGAGCACAGGAATTGGATCTGTGTCCATCCACTTTATGGAAGATTTTGCGGAAGGATCTTGGTTTACGTGCTTACAAAATCCAACTCGTGCAAGAATTGAAGCCAAACGATCATCAAGTGAGGCGTAGATTCGTCGAATGGGCCCAAAACGAGATTGCCGTTGTTCCCGATTTTCATAAGCGAATTTTGTTTAGCGATGAAGCGCACTTCTGGTTGAATTGCTACGTCAACAAACAAAACTGCCGCATTTGGAGCGAAGGTAATCCTCAAGTGTATGTCGAAACACCGTTACATCCAGAAAAACTGACTGTTTGGTGCGCTTTATGGGCTGGTAGAATCATTGGTCCGTACTTCTTCAAAAACGATGATGGCCAGAACGTTAAAGTCAATGGTGATCGGTATCGAACTATGATTACTAACTATTTCATTCCTGAATTGAATAACCATGATGTCCAGGAGATGTGGTTTCAAGAAGACGGCGCAAAATGTCACACAGCTCGTGCCACAATCGATTTATTGAAAGACACGTTTGGTGACCGCCTAATTTCACGTTTTGGACCTGTGATGAATTGGCCTCCAAGATCTTGTGATTTAACACCGCTAGACTACTTTCTGTGGGGCTATGTAAAGTCATTGGTCTATGCGGATAAGCCACAAACGCTTGACCATTTGGAAGACAACATTCGCCGTGTTATTGCCGATATACGGACACAAATGTTGGAAAAAGTCATGGAAAATTGGACGTCCAGCTGAACTACATCCTCGCCAGCCGTGGCGGTCATATGCCAGAAATCATATTTAAACTGTAATGCCACAAGATTATCTTTCGGATAAATAAAATTCATGTCAATCGAATAATCCATCGTTGTTTTATTGCATCTTAAAGTTCTATACATCGAAAAAAAAACACCCCTTATATTAAAATTTGTGAGTTTGTGAAAACTAACGCCTCTGGATCCTGTATAAAAAAACCCTATCCTGACAAGTTTTCACCTTTTTGACAAGTTTACGCACAACCGACCTACAAAACACCGTCTATCTACAATTCCAAGAGAGCTAAAAAAGCTCTCTTGGGTTATGAAAGCGGCAACAGACTAGCTTTATTAATAAAGCTGCCGTAAAACCATCAAAAACAAACTGGACCCTAAAATTTTTGCATATTATGATTTATTCAAGAAACGTTTATATGACACCGTGATTATTTTTAAATATTAATAGACGTTGCCAACCTATAAATAAGTATTTCAAAAAATATGCTATTCTATGATTTCCTACAGAGACTTGAGAATATCAAAACTAGACATTAAGATAGTCAATTATAATACTAAAGTAAAGCGGCCCCATTACCTCATTAACCCTTCGCCATATTAACGGCACAAATTTTTCTCTGATTTTTTAAATTAAAAAAAATCTCGATAAGTTCATGTATTTTTACAAATGGTTAAAAAACTAATATTACGAACAAACTTAAATTGGCAAACAAAAACACAAGTGATAATAAAAAAAGTTCGTCAACTAAGTTAGGGAGCTTATTTATGTGCTTCACTAAACTAAAGGCTGAAGAATGGAAGATATAGTATATGATAGTATAACATGTTTTTTATATTATCTTTTTTATTTTAATGATAGCGATTCGGCACCTATATTCGACAACCCTATATACCTTAAAATCAGCCAACCTTAAAATATTTTCTATTCCTTTCCCATTTTGGTATTGCTTCTCTATACTTAAGATTTATTAAAAACCCGCTTTTAATTAGTATAGGTTTTTGTTGGCGCAGATCACCAAAATATTTCTGATTTTTTAATCTGGTGATATTATATATATATATATATATATATATATATATATATATATATATATATATATATATATATATATATATATATATATATATATATATATATATATATATATATATATATATATATATATATATATATATATATATATATATATATATATATATATATATATATATATATATATCCTCACGTATTGATTCACAAATGGAAAAATGTGATGACACTATATTCCGGGATATCATCCGTTCGCTCGTTGAACTCCGACTGGAATCCTGCATCCGACTGGAATCCTGCATCCGACTGGAATCCTGCAAATCCTGCATCCGACTGGAATCCTGTAGACGTTTCGCCAAAATCTCACTTGGCATCTTCAATGCTCGCGCTCCGAAAACACTTCGAACACTGGTGGCTGTAAAGGTCTCCTTCCCGTAAAGGTGTATGATATTCTCACGTATTGATTCGCGGATGGAAAAATGTGATGACACTATATTCCGGGATATCATCCGTTCGCTCGTTGAACTCCGACTGGAACAGTGTTCGAAGTGTTTTCGGAGCGCGAGCATTGAAGATGCCAAGTGAGATTTTGGCGAAACGTCTGCAGGATTCCAGTCGGATGCAGGATTTGCAGGATTCCAGTCGGATGCAGGATTCCAGTCGGAGTTCAACGAGCGAACGGATGATATCCCGGAATATATATATATATATATATATATATATATATATATATATATATATATATATATATTATTGTTAGGATTATTTAAAAAATAAACTACCCATAACAATAACAAGTCAGTATTAAGAAAATTTATAACAATCTACGATATATATTAGTATGTGGTTTAACTCCTAAGAAAATTAACACGCGTCAGTGGCAACAAACCGGACCGAACTCAACCATTTTCACTCGAATCGACCCCGTAAGCGGGGCAAATTTGTAATACCGTTTTTGTAGTGGAAATATAGGTTTCGCTGAAATTGATATATTCCAAATGGGGTAATTTAAGAAATTGAGTTGCTATAATAGATTGGAAAGACATTTTGGGATCCAATTTTCTTGTTGATATGCCCGGCTGCCAGTTCCGTATGTCTCTCTCTCTTTCTCTTTCTCATTCGGGTTCTATGTATATAAGATCTCCGTATAAATCTTTTCGCGTAATGAAATCTGTCCAATGAAAATTGTTTTCATTTCCCGTTACCGTTTTTCTTTTGCTTTTGTTAATTAGCTCCAAGTTTACCCTACCTTTGTTTTCGTGTTTTCCATAAATTGCAATTTATTCGTCGTCTGCATCAAAGAAATATCGATCAAAATTTCAAAAATAAACGCACAAGTCCCTTTCCGTAAAACTTTTGCTTTTAGCGTAATTACGAAAGTATTCACTTGAAGAAATTGCCTTAGCTCATCCGCTCATCCCGGCCAGCTGTTTTCATTCGCTGTAGAACATTATCATGGAAATACTTGGGCACGTAATTGTAAATTAATTAGCAATCTATTAATTAATGATCTTAAACGGGATGTCTTTCGTATCATTTCTTGCGAGCATTTTAATGTAAGCTTTAAAAGAGTTAAAAATTGGAAAACTGGAATGGGTTTTTAAATAGAATATTTCACATTTTTTCAACAGACTTGTTGCATATTATGTTCTAAGTAATATTTTTGGTAAATAAAGACTATATTATTTTGTTTTACATTTCAAGTAATTTTATGAAGCTAAATATTTTAGCTGTTGTGTAGAGGGTGCACAAATGTATCACAAGTCAAAAAAGTAACACTAAAAATATCGAAAAAATTGCTCTAAAAAAATAACGATAGTGTCATTCTAAAGGAATGAGTGTACACTCAAACTGAAAAATGAGTTTGCTGAATTTAAGGTAGTATTGACCTACGTCATCTTCAAATCTTTGATTTAATTTCAAATACAACTAAACTACGTTCAATTATCTAGCAATATTAAGTGGTCAACTTTGTGCTCGTCTTCCCGGTGCCGGTTTTATTTAAGACGTTTTTTCCAGAATCGGGCGGGGATCAATCAGCGACTAATGTCAGAACGGCAGGCTTGTCGGTCACGGGACCATCACCGATGCCAGTTTCAGCCGCGGCAAACAGCGTATCGGGATCGGGGACGAAAGAATGTGCAGGTTGCGGCAAACGAATCACTGAAAGGTTTCTTCTGAAAGCATTGGACCTGTTCTGGCACGAGGACTGCTTAAAATGCGGGTGCTGCGACTGTCGACTGGGAGAAGTCGGATCGACCCTATACACAAAAGCGAATCTTATACTTTGCAAAAGGGACTACCTTAGGTGAGTCGCATTCCTACACAAAGGCGCGGCTATTTTTATTAATGCCGATGAGAAAATAAAAAAAACAACTTCTCCATTTTCCAGAAATAGTCAATATCAATTTTCTGGACTGTGTCAGAGTTGTTGATCATTTGTCCATTATTAAGACTAGTAGTATAATAGTAGGAGTAACAGTATATTAGTTGGATACCGCAATCAAAATCTTCGAGGTTACATTTTCAATTTCAGTGAAATACTGACTCAGAATTTCTCAACCTTTTTTCTCCCACGGATCAGTAAAATTTGTTGATCAAAAAGTTCGCGGACCCGTGCTATTTTTTAAAAACTAGAACTTAAGTAGCTATTAAAGAACTACTACCTAAATTAATTAAGTTGTAGTTTTTTTTGTAAGTAATATACCCATTGATATAACGATCCAGCATGCTGAAAGTGTCACTTTACCAAACCAGTTTGTAATACCTCTTTTTTGCTGCTGATCGTTGGTACTATTTTAGCTGAACTGTGAAGTGATAACTACCATATTCATAAGCTATTACGCTGGGCTATTTGGAAGAAGAGAATTTTTTACCCAATTTTCAAAATGTCCACTTGTCATGGCCTGATGGTAGTCTAATATGTGGTTTTTAATTTTTTTTTTCTGAAAGTAAAAAGCGTTGAATTGAATACTCTTTTTCTACTAGATGCAGGCTCATTAAAAAAAATGCCACCGTTTCCTTATAGTGTCCATGGGTGTCGCACCATATATAAAACTAACCAAAACTAACCAACCAAAATGGTCGATGCTACGTCATCAGTAATAGAGCGTATTGATGACTGTTTTGGTTGCAATGAACCTCGCCGTCGTACTGTTGCCACCACCTAAAAGTCAACAACTCTGTATTTTAAATGAGACACCATGTAGTTTTCAACTTCGACTGTTAACATGCTAATGCAAAAATACCCGCGTATTTAAAAAAATTAAATTAAACACTCTGTGTTTTATAGTCACAGTGTTTAAAACTAAAATATTGATATAACATACAAGCACAAAAATTTAATGTGTCACTTTTTTTCATGGTAATGCAGTTAGATATAGAAAATACCATTCGACAGAGTTTTTTTATTAGTTTTATTCAGAGGATAAAATCCAGATTTTTCACGAGATCAGATCCATGCATTTAGGTATAAAAAATACCATATTCTGAGCATAAAAAACAGGATTTTTTAGAGTTTAGCGTAGATCTGACAACACTGCGATGGTGGTATTCTTAAAATGTAGACAAAGATTATGTACACAGTGTGCCAAATAAATCGACCCACTATACGGTCTGGAAACCCATAGGAGATACGAAAAAAAGTTTCGTACCAAAGTTTCGTGGACTCTCCTGAAGATTAAAAATGTTATAATTTTGTTGACACAGGGTGTCCCAAAAATGTTCCCTCCGATATCAACTTCGTTATTTTATATGTAACACCCTGTATATATCGACATTTTTGGAATCCTTGGTTAAAATAAAGGTTACTTTCTTAAGAAATTACTATTCGAATTTTGTGTCTCAAATAGGTGTTGCTTTAAAAGAAGTAGGATCATGTTTTTGCTATTTAAAAAATACCTAATATTGCCAAGTGACCTAATGTGGGCAGCTTTAAATTCAACAAGAATTCATACGGGTCGTTTTATTTGGCACACGGTGTACAATCCTTGACGTAGACCATAGACTCCTACCATCGTAACCAAAATTTGAGTTCTCTAGATACTTTTAATGGATCATTGAGTCTGTAATACCCTTTATAAAGTAATGAATGAATGAACAGCTTGTATTTCCGTCCGAGGAGATTTTCTCCCTTTCAGCGTCGGGCGAATTTCATTTCCGAATCTGCCCGCAAAATGATTCGAAAAACTATTCGGATCCAACATTTATACGGCCCTTGTCGGGCCACACCAATTTCCGCTTGTAGATTGCTATAAAATTTATAGCTACGCCGTCGCTATAAAAATTACATTACAGTAAATTGACTTCGATTAAATGGCAGCAGAACACGTTGTCACTTTTCTAATTAGTTTCGCCCGGACCTTCGGCGGAGTTTTATTAAAATAACTTTTGCGGCTCTGTTTTTTTTTCCGTCCGAATCGCCACGCGTGCCTGCGGACTCTTGCATTTAGGTAGATAATTGAGGCGTTGATTGTTGATTATTGACTATATCAACGTTAATGTATCAATTGCAACGCGAGAACGAAGTTCTACAATGTGGTCATATACAGCATATAGGATTTTTTTTTTATACACTGCGACAATAAAATACCATTCTTGTCGATCGTGCATTTGGGGTGCACGATCGACAAGAATGGTATTTTATTGTCGATGGTTCTAAGTCTAACGTTATAGTGTGTAGTCTTAAATATAAAACTTGCACAAAAGTAAAAAATCAAAAAAATGATATTCGAAAAAGTTTTTTTTCCAAATTAAACAATTTTGTTCAAATTCTTCCTAATCAGACTCAAGCAAGTAATTATAAGAGACACATTAAAAAATAATAATTCAAAGTGCAAAATTGCTGAAGCTGTAAATTTGTTTAGGAGGTACCTAATTACATTACCTTACATTTACGCAAGGTAGTAAGTTTACTAGAATTGAAATTTACAGTATGTTTTTGATCCATTTTTTCTTCATTAAAATAATAATAATAATAAAATTAATAATAATAATAATAATAATAATAAATCCTGAGCCTGAATCCCCTCTCCTGGGCCTTAAAAAGATGGAACCTAGGATACGAGCTGAAAATGGAGACCAAAAGTATAAACTAAGCCACCTCTTTTACGTTGACGATCTGAAGCTATATGCGGGATCTGAAAACACACTGAATAGATTAATCCAACTCACACAACAATTCTCAGATGACATCCAAATGAGATTCGGGTTGGATAAGTGTGCCAAACTTATAGCTCATAAAGGTATACCAAAAACTGATGATAAGCTGGAATCTGAAACCGAAATAATGTATCTTAACAACGCGTATTATAAATATCTAGGATATGAGCAGGATCTTAATATTAATCAGAACAATGCTAAGGCTAATATAGAAACTAAACTGCAAAACAGGGTGATAAAAATATTAAAAACGGAACTAAACGGAAAAAACAAAATTAAAGCTCTAAACACATGGGCGGTACCGGTAATCACGTACACGTTTGGTATATTAAAATGGTCTAACACTGACTTGGAGAGGCTAAACAGGAAAATAAGGACCCTCATGACAGAGCATAGAATTCACCATCCTAAGGCATGCACTGAAAGGCTATACTTACCAAGATCGACGGGCGGAAGAGGATTGGCTGACCTCAACATACTGCATAGGCGTCAAGTAAATCAGTTAAAGAAGTTCTTCCACCGTAAAAAAGATACTTCGACGTTGCATAAGCTCGCTTGTCAGTCGGATAGATACTCAGCTGTAGATCTCAGAAAAAATGAAATAAAAGAGATACCAACACTTGATGAGGTAAAAGAGAAGTGGTTGAGTAAGCCCCTTCATGGAAAATATCCAGCTAGTTTAAAAACTGCTGGGAGCGAATCAACAAATTGGTTAGTTAAGGGGCGGCTATTCGCTGAAACTGAAGGATTTATCACAGCTATTCAGGATGGAAGCATAGCGACTAGGAATTATAAGAAGTATATCCAAAAGATCAGAATAGATGATGATAAATGTCGTATGTGTGGACGGGTGCCAGAGACCATCGAACATGTAATAGCAGGATGTCAAACGCTAGCTCCGTCTGAATACACCAAAAGGCACAATTTAACAGCAAATATTGTACACCAAGAAGTAGCAATGCTATGCAACCTAGGAGAGGGAAAATACAGTCCATATTTTAAATACATACCTGCTCCAGTTCTTGAGAACGAAAATTATCGGCTATATTGGGATACACCTATAGTAACAGATAAACCAATAGCCAGCAATAGACCAGACATTATTCTGCTGGATAAGGCTAATAAAAAGGCGTATTTCATCGACGTCTCACATACCTCGCACCACAACCTGGAACAGAAAGAGAGAGAAAAAATTAATAAGTATTACGACTTGGCAGAGGAATATAAAAAAATACTCACCCTAAAAGCAGTACATGTTATCCCTGTAATTATATCGGCCACTGGGCTAGTTACCAAGAAGCTTGCAGGATACCTGGAAAGACTGAATATAACGAACAAAACCATCGTTACAAAAATGCAAAAGTCCGTAATACTTGAAACTTGCAAAATCGTCCGAAAGACCCTGAATATCCCGGAGACATAAACCTCCCCCCCCCCCCCCCCCCCAACTTTAGTGACTGGTTAATAAACCCCACTAAAGCTGCTACCCTAACAAGGAGAAAAAAATAATAATAATAATAATAATGGTAATACTAATAATAATTATAAAAATAATAATAAATAATATTTTGATCGAAGAATTAAAAAATGCAATAATATAGATCTTTTTTGAGTCGGATATATGGTGAATGACTTTAAAAAGTGAAACTTTATTAAAGCTCTCAATTTTAGTCACAATAATATAACTAAATAACCCTGTTTATTGGACAAATCTGAACATTATTACGTTGTTCTCCCTGAATCGACGAGAATTTAAGACGTTGTAAATCAGCACGAGAATTGTTTTGAAGGAACTGATCATTGATTATCATGAGCGCTTTCTTTTTTTTTTTGGAATCAACAACTCATGTGAAATGTTGAAAGTGCTTTCGACCTTTCCGAAATTTTCATTAGCCCCGATTTAAATTTGACGAAGGTGTGGATTAAAAATGTAATATTAACTACCCCCCACCCCCCTTTTCACTTTAATTTCAGGTTATTCGGCACGACGGGATACTGCGCGGCGTGCAATAAAGTCATCCCCGCATTCGAAATGGTTATGAGGGCGAAAAACAACGTTTATCATCTTGAATGTTTCGCCTGTCAGCAATGCAATCACAGGTAAAACGACTTTCGTACAAATGCGAGCATCCAGAAGGAGATATAATATATCTCGTTTGTTATATATTTGTTACATTAAACTCGCCACTTTGTCGCGCAAAATCTTCACTTGTTGGGACATGGAGCATATCCGAATACTAAACAACCAACCAGTCTGAAAACTGTATTACTCTTGACCTATATAAATATAGATGCCTGTAATGGAGAACTTTCAAAAATAGGCACCAGCTGTTTATAGCCGAGGTCTCAAAAAATGTATAAGTAGAATATGAATAGCATATTTTTTACTTTCCATTCACTTCCGATGAAAAGGCAAGGTGATGACGCATATCAGTATTCGGTTGCTTGGCAGTCAATTTTATCTAACGACAATTTTCTGTAATTGCTCGTAACATGAGCAATTTGGGGAAACCAACGAACTGATTACTGTTTTCTTGTTTCAGGTTTTGCGTAGGAGATAGATTCTATTTATGTGAGAACAAAATCTTATGCGAATACGACTACGAGGAAAGACTGGTCTTCGCCAATATGGCGTACAATCCTAGTAGTTTAGCGCACATCAGAAGGCAAGTCAGTAATTTACAGGTATGATGATTCATTGTCATATCTTCCTTTTTGTATGAATCGAATTTTCGCAATTTAAAGAAAATTAAGAGTCATAAGTAGGTTAGGTGAAATGCTGGGCGACTAAGAATTCAATTAAAATTCGCCCGTAGCAAAGTACAGCAACGGACATTTCATTATCTCAAAAACTACTGCCGGCACCAATAATTGCTTACAAATATTTTATTTTTATAGTGATTTAAAAATGAAGCTCTAAAAATAATTAATTTTTTTTGGTTATGTTTTTCTAGCGTTTCGGGATTATAAATAAAAATCGAAAATTACATTGGACGTTTTACATGCATGTTGGGACAAAAGGCAGAAGAATTATCAAGTTGCACATTTCGTGCTTGAAAAGTATATCAAGCATTTATTGTCAGGAAAATAATAATAACCGATACAAAAAAGTAATTATTTTTTCGTCTAGGATTCTTGACATGCTGTTGCTTTCTTAATTCGCGGTTAAATTGCGCCAGCAAAGTGCCTTCGACTTTGCACCAGGTCTAACCGTTTCAATTCTACATATGTTTTGAATTGCTAGAAAAATTCGAAAATGGGATAATATATATAGTTTGCCCCATATAAAATTTCAATGACGCTTAAACTTACCAATCAAATTTTTATAATAATCCTATATCCTGTTTTCTGTAAAAATCTATCAATTTAATCATCCTGTATAATAAATACCGTAATACATCAAATGTATTATATCTGTGCGAAACTTTGCACGACATTTTGATATCTTGTTGGCAAGTCTTTGATTGTGTTAATATAAGCCAGAATGCTGCTATGCTTTCTGACATGATCATAACTCTTTTTAACTACCACGCACCAACAGAGAAATGGGTAACGAAACCGCCTGCTCGTTGGTTGGTTTACCGACGCTTTACGTATAATGTATAAGCGTAATACAAAATGTACAAAACTGAGAGGCTTATAAGGAAATTAGAAATATTTTTACCTCGGCTGTACGGGATGAAAAAAAATCGTATATTGACTGTGTTAGTCGTACGAAAACGTCAAAAGAGGCCTTCTGAACATCTACAAGATACCAAAAAAGGGCGTCGATTTTCCTAAACATTCGAGGAATCCTGAACAGTACGTCAGATTCCTAATACTGTTAATTTTCGCCAAATATCTTAGTACAAAATATATATCGGCGGAATTTGAGCTCGAACCGGTAAACGAGGAGGGGGGTTTCTGGGCTATGGTGGGATTGAAATCCACAGCACTCGGTACGAATGGAATTACTCTAGAAATTCTAAAACTTTGCTGTTCAACAGTACTGTAGGTAGCAGGTAGGTACAGGTAGCAGAGGTTACACCGTTACCAAGAGTGAGCAAGCCTAACACCTTTTACCTAAATTACAGTCAGGATTTCGCAAAGGGTACGTACGTACGGCTAAGGCTTTGCTCAAAGTTTTGGATGAGATTCTCTCAGCAGCTTTCGATACCCTCAATCATGATATGCTCTGTGCCAAGTTAAAATGCTACAGGTTTAAATTTAAGACGATTCAATTGATTCGTAATTATCTGGATCACCTAGTTTCGATTGGCAACATTAGATCGAAAGCCTTAGGAGTTTGGCAGGGTGGTCCCTGAAGGCTCATTATTAGGACCTCTTTTCTTCATTATTTATACAACAAATATGTGGTCACAGGCATAGTCACAGGTATGCTGATGCCATGCAAATACATATATCTTTTTCCCGGTCTGATGCAGATACTCTTGGCTTGAAATTAAACCCGAATAAGTCTGTATCAATATATTTTGAGCCCGCTAAGTATTGGCCCGTCCAAAACTTGGATACATTTATAAATTTAAAATTCCAGCTGTTGAAGAATGTAAAAACTTGAGTATCATCTTTGATAATGAACTCACATTTCGTACACAAGTTTCCATTTTTACATTTACATTTACAAAAATTAAAGATATTCTAGACTTTAGGATAAGAAAAATCTCTTTGAAACACTGATTTTGAATCATCTAAATTACTGTATTTTCGTCTGGGGACGCTGCTTGGATGTTTTGACAAAATATAAATTGCAAGAAGCACAGAATTCCTGTAGGTATTCGATTTATTTATAACCTTAAACGAAGAGCTCACGTAACAAACTATGTCTCTCATTGCGCTTTTAAAGTTCATTTAAAAAAATATCTCTTACGGGAAACTACCTAGATTGTTAATCGATTCTTTTTATTTAATGTTGTTTTTTATCTTTTAACTTTGCAATGTCTTGTTACATACTCGGTTAAGTTAACAGATCAGCGGACCTTCGCCTAGCTTAAAATAAGGGCGGTTTTATTTATTTATTTATACAAAGATAACTTAAGATGTTCCGTATAACAACCTTTTTGTCCCAATAAACATGTATCTTCCTATGTTTGTATGAACTCTCTTTGTCGATACGCCTCGTAGATCATTGCGCGAAATGTGAATAAAATTAAAACCGATATTTTTTAAAAAACACCTAGGTTGGTCTCTTTCAGCCGGCGGGGGGAGAGGCCGTAACGTCCATTTTACCCGTCGGTGCTAACCCCTCGAGACCAGCCTACCAACCACCACATCAATTCCACCATCAACAACTGTCATTTTACAGCGCGAAGATTTTGGACGAGCGACAGCGGCAGCTCACTAGCGCAGCTTGCGTGGGGATTCTGAATCCGCAAGGCGCAGCCCCTGGTGGAAGACATCACGGGGATGACGGCAGCAGCGGTTACGGTAGTCCCGATTCCGAAACTCTAGAGACGACGTTGCCGCACTGACCGTCGTTTAAAAAAAGTGACAATGTACTATTTTGGATTTGATTGTTATGTCCGCTGTCTTGACCGACGAGACAGATGATCTCAATGAAGCTAGTCATATAGTCGATATATTAACAGGTTTTTAAAAATGCCATATTTTTCAAAGTAACGTTACTTTCGTATTCTGTATAGGTCTTTTAGTATACGATTTTACTGTTTCCAAAATTCCAAAAATATCGAACATTGTAATACTTTTGCACGGTGATTTCCAAAAATTGATAAAATTATTCACTTTAATGGGACACAATTTTTCCGGAGTTTTATCTAGAAAAGAGAGGAAGAGACCAGAAATTCTGATGCCAAGCCGACAGTTAATTATTTTTCCTTTACAAAAAGCAGTTCCACAGTCGTAATGTGATGACCGTATAAAGGTATGCTCCTCAACTGTGACATTAATCGTTTCAAATTCGTCATGCGTTTCGCGAACAAAACTGGAATATCGATTCGATTTGAAATTGTTATCATCAACTTGGTTGGATATTGACGACGTTTGAAAAATCCTTGTGTAACTATAAAACCATCTTTACGTGATTCAAATACGATGTAAAACTTGTATAAAATAAAGAAAAATTTGGTTCTCGTTTTTGTGATATAATTCGAAAAAAAATTCCTTCGATGTCAAATCTGGATAACGTAGCTTTTTTATACATATCTATATATGCGCTGTTTTTGTTAATCTCTTGAGCCTGATATATTTTTATATCAATCGAAGTTTTTTGTTTGTTTCCCTGCTTAGTTTTGAGACCCTATTTGTTCCTTTCATTTGTTGGAAGAACATTATTTAATTTGCAAAGCAGCAACAATAACTTTTTCTTAAAATATTTGAATTTCTAGCAACAAGTATGCGGCGATTTCCATTACCACGTTGTTTTTTCTTAAATGTTATTATTATTAATGATAAATGTAAATAGTTAAAAATATAAATAAATGTTGTAATTTTTTTGGTTATACTCGCTTTGTTGTTGTCCCTAACCTACAAACTGCCCTGTTTTTAATACATAAAATGCCTCATTTTTAAACAATACACTTGTTGTATTCAGGTGTCGACCTATAACAATAAAGTCAACGTCAGTAGAGGACACATGAAAACACTTCTCAGATAAGTTGTCGAACCATTCTAAATATATGAAAATAAATAATAATCTATTCATAACACGAACAGAACAATCCTTACGTACTTCGCTAGCACCTTATCTTACCACAGAATGCTATAAGGATCCTAAGGAAATATTCATACAGAAGTTACCTTGCTTTAACTATTTGCGCCATCTACGGACTGGTAGCTTAAAATGTAAGTTCCGACTCTGGGTCCTAAAAAGTTTTCTTAAAGATTAAAATAAATGTAACCGTTAGATGACGCAACTGTTAACGATTTCAGAAACAGCAAAATCAATTCCTATATGCAATTACACAATCTAAATTATTTCCAAATACCCAGGGAAACGTGACGACGTTACTTGCTTAAAGATTCAAAAATAAATAGGCGCCGGTGGTGTTTTAATTCTATTCACCGCAGTCTCCTGCTTTAAATCCATGTTGGCCTTGACACCACTGTGTGTCATCTCCAGTGCCTAAAACCTTGTATAAAAAAAACGCAAACGGTAAGTTTGCACAATTCATCCCAACAATAACGAATTTCAATAAAAACAAGACTCACTAATTCAGAACATAGGCTAATAATTAATTTTGATACAAAAAAAAGTAAACAACCATATCCGGCTAGAGTTATGCTGAAATTTTATCGATCAACTATATCTAATTTTATCTATATTAGTCACATTTTTATTTCAAATGTCAAGGGTCTGTATTGTAAAGTAAACAAACGATTATTATTGCAATCGCTGTTAAAATCATAAGCAGCGCCCTTATAGTGACACAAGACCAGGTAAACGTTAAAAATAAAGGCAGCATTTTTAGAGAACCAGATAAAATATTTAAAAGATGGTATTACAAGTCATCAGATTCTTTAACAAAGTTTTCACGCGTCGAGTGAGCAGTCATACTAGGAGTATAATCTTCAGGCAGGTGAATATAACTTTAATATTCCAATGTAACCCAATTTGTTTTATCTATGATGATCACTGATGTACTTGAATCAAGAAAGACTTCAAATAGGTACTTAAGCAGCTTGACATTAATTTCACAGCTGTTCGATGACGTCAGCAGCACGTACACTTACCTCTTGGGTTGTCCAATCACTAGAGAGTGCCTGCTTATAGATCCAGTAGTAGAACACTCTAAGCGGGATTTTAAGTTGACCAAAGATCTAAGGCTTCAGCTTAAATTCGCCAGTTCGACATATTTTGTTTTCTTTTTATTGCAACATTAATCGGATCATTTTAGTTAATACTCATATGCACGCCGACCATATAACGGGCACTGGGTACTTGAAGGCGCTTTCTGGATGTAAAAGTGTAATTTCCAAGGCCAGTGGCGCACAGGCAGACATATTAATCGATGAAAGTGATATAATCCAGTTTGGTGATCATATTCTCAAAGTTTTCAGCACGCCAGGACATACCAACGGGTGTTGTACCTACTATCTTCCGGAACAAGTATTGTTTTGAGGTTATGGCGAAGGCGCAAGGGAACACCAGATATTTGTATTTGTTAGGAAATCGCATTTACCGGCGACGCTCTTCTAATTCGCGGTTGCGGTCGAACGGATTTTCAAGAAGGCAATCCCAGGACATTGTACAGAAGCGTACACGACAAAATATTTACCCTACCAAAGAACACGATATTGTACCCCGCTCACGACTATCACGGAATGATGTGCACCTCCGTTGATGAAGAAAAACGTCTGAATCCACGATTGACGAAGAGCGAGGACGAATTTGTGGAAATCATGAACAACTTAAATCTGGGCTATCCTAAGCAGATCGGTAAGTGAAAAGCGTTATTATTATTTCTACAAAATTCAAAAAACAGGATTAGTTTTTCTACCTCTTTTAAGCTAAACAATTGCGATCTCGATTAATAAAGTTTTTTTCGCAGCTTTTCACATTCTAGTGTTGTGTTTCTATTATGATTGAGATAATCGGACATAATTTTATATATTTATTAACTTAAACTGTCTCCATTTCATTCAAAATCAAATTTCTTTTCTAGTACCCATTCTAAAACACACAATTATGCGACCGTGAGCAAAGTGTTACTTTAAGACTTCAGTGGCATGTACCAGGGGTACTTGCGGATATTTTCGATATAGTATATTATGCCTACATGTCGATAAACCTCTTCAGTCACTCGTTTATTAAACACTCCGAATCCGTCGTGTCAAAACAAACTCGTGACTAAAGGGACTTTTGACAAACTTTTTCTATAATATACTATTAACTGTTATTTAAAGCACACATTGTTTTGGTAAGTTTCAATGTTGCTTCTTAACATTTTTTGATGTCGGCTTCACGAGTGATGTGTAATAAGCGAATAAGTAAAACCAAGTTCTCTATAGTAACTTCTAGTTTGCTTACAGACCTTTCGTTAAATTAAATAGAGGGAATGTCAATACATTAAAAGTTTAGTTGTTCCGTAATAAAAAAAACATTTTGTGAGGTGACTCTTGGGCCGGTATGCATAGTCATTCGCCAGCGAGTCGCCGGAGAACTCGCCTGGAGTGGCGACGAGAGAATCGCCAGCGGGTCGCCATTGACGCTTTTGCGTTGCATAGTTGTACTCTCGTACACATACTCGCCGGCGACGCGCCCGCAGTTTTCCAAACTCAGTAGATATGAACTGGTTGCAAATTGTCTGGGTATTTTATATATTGCCGTATTGTGTAAATTTCGTTATTACACGGCTTCCTGTTGCCTGGTGGACTCCTCTTAGATCTCCACAAACAATCTAAAAATAATTCGTACATTTGTTTATTTTATATTTATTTTGTTAAATTACTATCTACTTACCTGGAAACTTCCAGTAGCATAAAATCGCAAAGTTACCTATTACTGTTGGAACAAGCAGCCCCCTATTGGTCGGTGGTTCTCGATTTTCAATCATAGGTAATAAAACGTGTTGAAAGGTCGGTTTAGAGAAGCGAAATCGCTTTTGGAATTCAACGTCACTATATTTTTCCATGGGATTTTCCATGTCTCTAATATAACTAAAAGTATCAATTCTTTTATAATTCATTTCTACTAGCTACTAACACAAGACTTTTGAAAATTTTATTTTACTCACCGACGTGGTATGTTTTTTAATTCCAAATACAAAATATCTCTATTAGCATTATAAATAATATCAAGATCGCGATCCATTGCGTTCGATTAAATGCTCTGATCAAACCATTCAAAACCGGCGGACCGACGGAGATGCCGACGCCAAGAAATATCGAAATGCGCGTGCGTCAAGTCGGCGAGCGAACAAACCAGTATTTTGTTAAGTAATTAATTAAGTAGTATCAAAGTAATGCTGGCATAATTTCAATCTAATTCCTGTAATATGGGTTCAGTGCTTTCGTGCTTAGGTTCCACAGTATTTATTTTCACTCAAATTTGTTTCTAGCAAAGTTCGCCATTTTTTTGCAAGCTAACCAAAAGTATAACCTGCTGACAACGATCGGTTTACTGTTTAACATTTAAATCACGTTTCCGTCACTTCCAAACTGAAAATAGATCAACGCGGCGAAAAGTTTTGCGGAGGTCAATTTTTAAATCGGCAGCAATTCAGCTTGTCCTCGGCACGTCCGCCGTCTGAACTGGGCCAGTTAAACACTCAAACTTTTTTTCCGCCGTTTATATTCTAAGCTCTCGCGAAGTTCACTCGCCATTGAAGCGTCCATATCGATTTTGTCAAACTTCCAAGTCTACGATGCCTCGAGAGTCGGCGAAGGACTGTCCCAACACTTCGTTCCAAAACAAAACCCATAACCGCGTTGTGGGGGAGAGATTAATAGTCCTGGGTTTCGAATGCGAGGCGTCTCTATCATAAAAAAATCTCAAATTTATTACATTAACAAAATCGTTTTAACCGACTATATTATTTTTTCTACTACTGCCGTGAAAAGCGTCTAAAAATAAGCAATTTAAAAGACAAATTTCACACAGTCTGCCCTCAAGTTTTCACATCGCACGCTTATGTGAAAGATTATGACAGATCAGAGCAATCCATATTTATTTTCCGCAATCGTGGAAAAGAAGTTGGTCAGAAAACGAGTTTTTCGAAATTTATTGCGCAATATTACTTATTTATATCGCCAAATCAAGTAAACACATATTTTTATTGGCCGCATCGAAGCCTGAAATATTTTTTTTGTTTTTGAGCGGTGGCTCCTTGGCAAACCTAACCTTTGTAGAAAGGAAGGAATGACTAAAAGTTTTAAAATGACCAGTTAATATAAACACCTAACATCTGTTTTTAAAAGAATTACATTTTTTTGACGTACTTTTTGTTTTAGTTTTTCATCCCTTTAAAAACGTAATTTGAAGAAATACAGAAATTTTGTAGCATATTCACCAAAAAAACAAAAGGCCATCGACAAAAAAGAAAAATATATGCAAATATAATTTTTTTAATTTATCAATCTTAACTAGACTAATTGAAATAGTAAAACACGTTGGTATGGCATTTGGTTTTAAAAACGTTAGGCCATTTTTTTAACTAAAGATGCCTGCAACAAAATTTTCATGTCTCTTGGTATCTAACATACAGAGAGAGGTGCATCACGGTATTAAAAAGGTTAAAGCGCATTTCTATAAATCTTTTTTCGTAATATCCAGTGACCTAGCTAGTTTTCTACACACCCTGTTCATTTTTTAACTAGTTAACTTAGACATTTTTTGAGCTGTCCAAAATTTCGTCGTAAATACCCAATAGCAAATGTTCCAAGTAAATTAATTTTATTCTTGCGTTCCACGTTTTTGGCCTTCATTTTCAAAATTTGTTAGCTGTTACATCAAAACTGACAACCACCGTTCTTTTCGAAACGAGTAAGAAATAAAGATGCAGTATTGGCGAAACTAGTTCATAAATATCTATTATCAATTTAACTTCACACTGTGCAGGGTAGTCATTTTTCGCTTTTGGTTGATCGCTGAAGAGAGCGTACCTCGCGACGATGCACAAAGATCCAGAAAAAAATATGTTCGAGTGCTTTAAGGGGAGCTGTCATTGAAATATCCAATGAAACTATCTCATTATATGAATCATCCACCGGTGACGTGTAAGAATTCGCCTTCTGCGATCGGTTAGACCTAAGCGTAGCCTCGATTTAAAACCGATCTCTCGCGACACTCCGGGAAATTCCGGGAATTTAATAGAGCGGGCGCTCTATCGAAATATTCGGTGCCGTTTGTCATACGAGAGTGCAAGACAAAAGAGCCAAACCAGGCACAATTCACGAAATTAAATGTACGTCTATAAATTACGTCCATTAACGTCCTAATGTCCAGCAAGCTGCAACACAAACTTTGCTAGAGTCGGTTAAATATCCAGCGAACTTAGTTACTCTATTATTCTCGAGCTCAGATATGGTTGTAAAACAAAATGAGCATTTAAGCAACGACCTAGACTACACCGCTTCTTGTGAGCCCGGTCCAAGAGATTCGGGCAGTCTGTCCTATAACACTGAATGCAGACCAAAAATGAAAAGATTGTCTACGGAGAACATGACTACGAACAAAGACTTGGGAAAAGAGTAGCGTTGGCATTGACTCTCTTGTATGAAATTCAACAGTTATTTTTGCAAGTAACTCTACTCCAAATTTGTATTTGTTAAATATGCAAAAATTGCCACCTTTATTTCAAAAATTCATATATTTTTTTTTAACATGACTTGACATTTGGGTATAACTTTTAATTCTAAGCAACTTTTCTAAGCTAAGCACGAATTCAATTTTTTCACATTGAAAGAAAACACAAAAATCGCGATTGTTTCGGAAATTATTCAGAAAAAAGAAATATAAGATCACACGTTTATATATTGGACACTTATTAGGTCACCAGAAGGTTTAATTATATATTTATTGATGGACTAAAGTGTTCAGTACTAACGTAAATACAATTGAGTAACTACAAGATACTAAACCAAATAATCTACACGAAAAATCAAAGTTAGACTAACACTAACACAGGTTAATTTAATTTAATTTAAATTTAATGGAAGGCAACCAAAAATAAAATATCTCTTTTAGTTCAATAAGGAAAATTTTTGAAAAATGAGTCATAATATCTTAAATTAGAATTTCTAGAAAACAAGTCACAATTTTTGACATAAGGGACAGTGCGAATCGAAACATCAGCTATACAGGTCGGACATAAAAAATGAAGTCTTTAAACTGGGGGTACTAGACACCAAAATATTATTAAATTCCAACATTTGATTTGAAGTTTTCTTTGTTACTATTATCAAAATTGTTATTGTTGACTATTGTTTTGTATTCTCCTTCTACCTTAATCTTATTTATACATTTTATTTTATTGCAAAATCAGAAAAAAATACCATGAACTTTTTAAACGCAAGTCAGTCCACCATAACTCGACAGATAGAAAAAATATGATTGGATTTACCTAAATAATACGGTGAAATTAGGAGCAACGTAATTAATGAGAATAATCAGAATAAAATTTAAACAATAAGCACCCTGTATTTGCGAAACCTTGCCAGTGATCACATATGGCTCGGAAACGCTTACGTTGACTAAAAAGTCCGCTGATAAGTTGAGTGTAAATCAAAGAAAATTGGAACGAACAACTAATTCCTTAAAATTTTTAATTTAAATTAAACTAAACCTATATTTTATTTTTGATGGCCTTTCTGCGGTGTCGTACCCTACTCTCGTTTGTTTTGACAGGAAATTCTGCATTTAAAATGTTCCGTATTGGACTTATGATCGCGTGCTTCGGTAATCAAAGCTCAAGTGGTCGACCATAACATTTCAAACATTCCTGCGTGGGATGCAGCAAACCACCTTCATCTATCGATTTACGGACATCAAAATCTAAATTTTCCCGGCGTATACACATACACATCCACCTTTAAACCCGACGCCCTATAATTTTATTCCTCCTTATGTTATTATTCCGCAGATAAGGCCCTTCCGGCGAACAAAGTTTGCGGAGTATTCGACATCCCGAAGGACGAACCACTGGATGAAGTCTAACCGCGGCCGCTTGCTATAGGAACTGCACTAAAATTCAATTTATTACGTTCCAATCATAATAGGATTGTTTCGAAAGTTGCGATCTGGTTTGGGGTTTTTAGAGCCAGGGGATAATAATTGTATCATGAGTAACTTTGGGTTTAGAGAAAGAAACGTCGCTTGTTGCATCGATCACTTCTTGATAGTCCTGTTCGTGATTGACCAATATTGTATCGACTTGTAATTATATACTACTTTATCAACTCTATATCTTGTAGAATATTCATGCCTTGTACATACAGTAGTTAATTTTTTATTATAGGAAAGATTATAAACTGAATGGATTTTTCAAAATCATATTTTGATGTTTCAAAAAAAGATCATATTGTTATCAATAAAATTTGGAAGCTATGGTAGGCAGCCTCATTTCAAACTTTTCGCTTTTTACTTTTGCAATTTTTTAAAGATCACGGTGATTGAATCGGTTTTTCGGAAAAAGTACCTATACCAATATACCTCCAGATCTATTTCTAGAAAGCTTCGTATTGCTTTTTTGTTTTTCTACCACTCAACTAACAATTGGAGAAAAGCAAACAGATATTGCTTTTTAGATACCCCAAAAAAAATCTAGGGGAGCAAGATCACATGATCGCGGCGGCCAGTTGATATCGCCGTTACGTGAGATAATCCGACCAGGAAACTTGCCTCGCAGCAATTGCATCGTTTCTCTGGATGTGTGACAAGTCGCTCCATCCTGTTGGAACCACAAATCTTCAATTTCCATACCTTCCAACTGCTCCCAGAAAACATCAGATATCATGTTTCGATAACGATAGAGTTTATTTATTTATTTATTTATTTATTTATTTATTTATTACAAAGGTGCCCTAACATGAAGAACTAACTTCACAATCTACAAGGACACACTAACAATTATACCATTATTTAATTAACAAAGTAAAGTAAAACTTATAAGTAGGTACCTACCTATATCTACGATAAGCAGAAGATAAAAAAAAATAAATAATAACAATCAAACTTACCAAACTAAACCAAAACTAACACTGTATATTAAGTGCGTGAATTACAAAAAACAAATGTGAAAAAATAAGGAAAACAAATCAAAAATTAAAATAAATTTATAGAAAAACCCTAATTGCTTGACTTCGAAACGAATTAAGTGATAACGCAAAGATGTCAACGTGCGAAAAATAATTATTGTAATGTCTATGTAAAAGAGATATTGGGGAATTGTTACCTAAGTTTGTATTAAATCTAGGCACGTAAAATAATGAAGGAGTTCTTGTTATAACGACTCTGGCATTGAAGGATAGTTTTTCCAACAGTAAAGGACAGTCAATCCTACTATTAATAATATTATGCAAAAATATAACACTGGAGATAATTCTTCTAACAGATAACTTCAGTATATGGTAGAAATTAAGACTAGCTTCATACGAATGAGTTAGTAAGTTACGGTTAAATCTAAAATTTAAATGGAAAACAAACTTTTTTTGTATTCCGTAGGACTCCATATCACACCGCCATAGTCAAGGTGAGATCGAACGTAGGAATTGTATAGAATAATAAGCGATTTGTGATCCTGAAATTCCTTGCTAACTCTTAATATAAAACCTAAATTTTTATAAGCTTTTTTTACTATATTCTCAATGTGGATATCAAAACTTAATTTTACATCTATAGTTATTCCAAGATCCCTAATCTGCTCTACTTTTTTTATTTTTACACCATTGAATGTGTAGTCAAAGTTTATATCATTTATCCGCCTGCTGAACTTAAGACATTTATCAATATTTAAAAAGATCTTCTTGAAACTTTAAGGCTGATCATCTGCGTATGATGCTGATTTAGCAAAAAGAAAACATTTACTGAAATCTGGGATAAACAGTGAAAATAACAATGGTCCCAAATGGGACCCTTGAGGAATTCCAGATGTGATGCGGGTCGTTTGGGATTTTGCAGAATTCAATTCTACAAACTGAGTCTGAGAACTGATGTAGGATTGAAGAATTTTATAAAGACAACCGTGTACACCGAAATTTTTTAATTTGATCAACATTGTTGGGTGGTGAACCTTATCAAAAGCTTTTGAGAAGTCGGTGTACACGGCATCTATCTGCACCCTATTATCTAACGCCTCAGAAACATCCTGGACATATAGTGAGAGATTGGTAGCAACCGACCTACCCCTAAAAAAACCATGTTGTGTATCTCCAAGAGCATGTTTTTATTTGTTCTCCGCATTATCTTCGAAAAAAAGGCCAATTATTCCTCCGCACCAAACAGTCACTTCTTGAGGATGCATTGCTTTTTGAACAATCTCTCTTGGATTCTTTAATCCCCAAATACGAACATTGAGTTTGTTTAGAAAGCCACCAACGTGAAAATGAACCCCTTGTTCTCGTATTCATTCTGCAAACACGCGGCGCTGTTGATGATCTCGAGGCTTCAACTTCTGAGTTATTTGGACTTTATATGGGTGTAGATGCAAGTCTTTCGTTAAAATTCGCTGTGTGATTGAATAAGTAAGGCCCACTTGCTGCGATCGATGACGAATCGATGTGTTTGGATTTTCGGCTACACTTTCGCGAGCAATGGCAATATTTTGATCTGACCGACCTGCACGAGCACGTTGAGGGACTTTGAGGTTAGTTACAGAAAAATTCACGTATAGCCCGAAATGCATTTTTTCTTGATCGACCATTTTCATAATAGGCTTGCACAATTTTTACACGTTGTTCAGTCGTATATTTCAAAAATATTTCAGATTCTTATTGAATCACCCGTTATAAGAAAACCGCGAAGGGGCTTCTATATCGTATAATTGAAGCAATAACTGTTTGACAATTTCAAATTAGATGCGCATAAAATGAATTTATTAAAACGCGTACATTATTACGGACATTATCCCCAATTAATTCAAACCGCCCTTATCGCCTGATGTGACGTTGCCCTTAACATATCGCAATAAGTTATTAGTATAATTCGCAAGGCATTTTGGAAGGGGGCATTAAGGCACTCATAGACGTTTCGCTTTACCCTGGACGAATGAAGCAAGAAGGGAAAGCAATGTATTCCAGCGAATCCCGTCAGTATATTATAACAATTATCAAATGAGACGAGGGACGGTTTTTTGCTCGAAATGACCTACATATTCTGGATTATTGCTGAAAACACTTGACATTATATTATTAGAAATAAATTATGGTTTACTTGAAGTATTAATTTAATTAATAAAGATTATTGAATGATTTAATAATTCTTGTTAATTATTATATATTCTTACGATAAAGTGCAAAGTGTATGGTCAGCTATAAACTCGAACCGCGTCATGCTAGGCACGAGAATCGCTATACGCTACGTCGAGTCGTCATATTGGCCGATCGATTGGTCGGCGTCGCTTGGCAACTGCGCACGTACGACCGTCGGCGCGACGTTGGATTCACCGCGTTGCCGTTTCGCCCTGAAATGTCACCGACTTGCTGATTGTACGAGATTAATTTCCGTGTAGTTGATAAACTCACCCTATCATTAACGAACGCGCAGGTGTAATCGCCTTTAACTGACGTATAGCTAAAAGTCCCGTATTACTAAATTTGAGCGACAGATGTTAGAGGACAAAACGATCCTGCAATCCTAAATTGTAAACGGAATTGAGCGGCAACACTGTTTTTTTTAACACGAGTGATATCCTTCGGGTTATTGGTGGCAAGGGAGAAAGGTGGCGAATTCTTAAAGAACTTTCCGCTAGAGGCTGTTCCTTTTTCTTTTAGATTTGCCCTATGGCCAAGTATCGAACTTTTTCGATTAAAACCGCAAATTAATTTTCACATTTTGTGATTTGTTTTTTACCGGAGTTTAAATCGTTACTACTGCCGCTCGAAAAAATTTGGTTAATTGCAGTATAGAAAAATCCTAACATGTTTGCCTAAGTTGGAAATATTTTCAAATCCGGAATTGTCTAATGTACCTAAACAATTATTATTATCGCATTACAGTCTATTTGACTATCCAAATTGAATGAAATGTGTATATTTGGAATACTCATAAATGATCTTTCTCGTCCATACACGTACAATATTCTGTTGCAGCTAGTTTTGACTCTAGCAATTAAAAAACACCATAATATTTGACATTATGTTATATACGTAAAGTTTGCAAGTAAAAAACAATTAAAAATAAATGCATCAATTTTTCACCATGTTTTAAAGTTGCAAGTTGTAATATTTAAAGATAACTGCCATGCTGCCATATTTGCTCTATTACCTTTTCGTTACTTACGAATTTGGGCGCAATGAAGTGCCAAGTGTAAAACAATATTTTTTAGAGGACATGTCAATAATTAAAATTAATGTTTGCCATATGGTGCGATAGGAACATAGGCCTCACAGCATAGAAAACATTAGTGATTCGGAAAATTCTGATCAATAATGGTACTTCATTTTTTAGTTACTTTAGGTAGTTGTTAGTGGTGAGTTTATCAAATATGATTGCTTAAAAAAATAAAATGTATAACATTATTATTTAGGCACAAATTATAAAAACATATTTGCTTCTAATATCTAGAAATATTTAAATTCAAATTTAATATACTTAATGCTCTATTGATTTTGAAGTATCTGAGCCTAAAAATGTTCCCGTAAGTATAAAAACGTAATTGGGCTACGGAAGTGTCGAAAAAGCTGAGTATCTCGGATAACAGTATAAAGAGGTGATTCATACGAAGAAAGTTTGTAAAGCCTTTTCCAGGTGACGTTTAATGATAATCCGAGCGCATTCAATCTCTCACTTATAATAACCGTATTATACAGTTTCTTTGGCGTAATCTCGTTTCGTGATTTAAGAGGTGGAACATAATTAAATTTACATATTGTTAAACTTGTTTACCTTAGAGTACTCGAAGTGCAGGCGGAGACGCGGGCGCCGCTCCCTTTGCTTTATTTTGTGTGAATGCACTCAATGCTTTTATTCAACGTTTTATGTATGGGCCGTAATTTAGTCGCGGCTCAACGAAATTAACCGCGGAAGCAGGACGGCCTGTTGTAGGCTTTACGATAAGAAACGGACATTGAGGCAAGGCGTCTATAAAATGCTTAATGCGAAAAACATGAACAATGACGTATACCTGTCGCAGAATGTATCGCCCATCAACATGTGCCTCACTTAGGAATAGTAGAGCAGAACGTAGCGTCAGTTTGTTACTACTGCCTTTTGGTGTTAAGGAACATGACGGCAATATCGCTTATCAATGGTCTATAAAATATACCTAAGCTTTATTCTCAGGTGCACCCCAACATTTTCATTGTTGTCAGAGTTTTTTTAATAAGCTGGACGTTGCATCAGGGTTGTTCGGTGGTCTGTGGTGTTCATATTCTATGGTCTAGA